GTCCTATTAAATAATTCAATTTCTATAGAGCGAAGAAGGAAGGAAAATCTTTTACGTTGTATTTTAAGTGCAGCTCCCAATTTTCCCGACTGAGTTTTAGAACCTGTGCTAACAATCTTTCCAATATTGCTTTTGCTAAATAATTTGGAGTTCCTTTCATCTTTCCGCACTGAAGTCTCAGCATATTTGCTGGTTTCTCTCATGGTAGCAAGATGATTGCAGAAGCGCTTTTCATCACATTTTCACCAATCAGTATAAAGCGATAAGAAACAGGTCCCAGAAGTCATCTTATCAAACTTAACCTACAGCTCAGTGTCTACTACTAGGTGTTTCCTAAGTCAGTCACTTGGAAGGAAGAAAGCATCAGCACGACTGGCTAAGATGAATCAAGATATCCCTTGTAGATCTAAAAGTTGGAGCCAACTTGCCTTGGATTTCTTTCATGGAAGAATTTGTTCTGTTAAAAAGAAGCTACAAATGTCTAGTGGGCAGGCAATTATTACGGTCTGCTGCACAGAACAACCCTGTGGGACAGATGTTGTCATTCACCCCAACTGACAGTTCACTAGACTGCTTCTGACATGGTAAGTGAGGTGCCCAAGGTACTCAGCGGTCAGGGGCCGAGGTGAGATTCCATCCCAGCTCTGCCATGCACCACACGCATTAAGGATGTTGACATCTAGCTCAGCGTCCCTCTTCCCATATCTGGAAGAATTTCACTATGTGCTGAGTAATCTGTCTTGTGTCAGCCAGAAAATGTCCTGAGATGAATCTCATTGGTGTTTTACTTCACTCACTGCTGCCTCCCACCGCCCTGGCCTCTCCCCGCTCCCCCTCCAGTAACTACTCCAGTGTTGAACCTGAAGTTTGACCCCACCCCTCATCCCTCCAGCCTTCTCCTTCCTCCCTTCCTCCCACCGTATCTGTTCTTTAAGCTTCTAGAGTACCCCAGCCTTGTTTCTATCCAGAATGTCTATTTGAATGCATGGACCTGACAGTGTTTCAAAGCTCTGGGCAAATCTCCTCCTCCAGAAGAGGAGCAGAGGCTCCATGCTGAGAGTGGTGGCCCAAGGTCCCACCCCCGGAACTGCAGTACAACACTGGACTGTGTGCCCTGCTGGCTCCAAATCCAGACCAATGTTTTGTGTTCTTTACTGTATCCCTTCAGGTTCAGTCCTCCTGGTGAACATTGCAAAATACATTAGGTGGGACGATATTTTAAGATACTAGCCATCTACTCTTGAGTACAGTATATTTTTAAAAAGATTTTAACACATTGCTAACACTAAGAGAAATATAACAATGAGAAGCCCCTAAGATAAAAAATATTTTTGCAGACTGCCTTGCTGACATAGCATTCTTAAATAATTGGAGACAGTCAAGAACTCACATTTGGAGAATATTTTTATGAACTAAATATTTTTTAAATAAAGACAAGGATTCCAGTACAACATGAGTTGCATTTTCCTTGGTGGCTGGTCTCCAGAAAGCATTGCTTGGATTATTGCTTTGCAATTAAAACAAACTATCAGCATACATTGCAATGGGAAAATACTTAGTGTTGCTTTTTCCCTGCAAACAGGAATTCTAGAA